ATATATATATATATATATATATATATATATATATATATATATATATACGGATATTGTATTGTGTTCCTGGCTTCACCTTCCGGCATTCTAAACAGCGTTGCCGAGCAAAAAAATGTGGGTATAGAAGCTGGAAGTCCTAATGTGTCCTCTCAGTCAGGTATAAAGGTCCGTGGTCGAAAGATCGGAAAAATTCACTTTTCGGATCCGTGATCGAAAGTTCGGAAAGATACTTTTAAAATGAATCATATTGATCAAGATCGATACACCAAATCAATATCAGGTATTTCAATTAATTAATTAACTACGTTCTAAGTATAATGTAGGATATATTTAAAATTTATTTATTTATTTTTCTTTAAGAAACATAGAACAAAGAATGTTTTCAAACATTATTTGGATGTTCGAAAGATAAAACCGTCGCACGAACTCTTTCAAACTTTAGTAATTAATAATTTTCAAAAATAGGTTGTTCCTTCACGACTATAATTAATTGACATATTCTGCGAATCTTCTTAAGTGCATAAAATATATTTAGCATGAAAGTCTGAAAAAATTATTTACATTTTACAAATATTATTACGCGCAATTACTGTAATAATTTTAATTACTATATGTATCATTTTTTGTCATGTACTTACGCATTATATTCACATATCGTTATTTATTAACCCTAGCTCGCGACATTCCGGTTCAGTGGACCGCTGAACGTTTTTCGGTTTTCTAATTTTCACATAATAACGTAATTTTCTAGTTTCCTTATAATAAGTGTAAACTTAAATCATTTTCTTATAGCCTGATATTATCATAAACATCTTATTCAGACTCTGTATTTCCACGGACCGGAGTGTGATAAATTAAGGACTCGAAAATAAATGTGGCTAGCTAGGGTTAATTATATTTTTTAATTTCTGTATCTTTTTAATTATTAGAAGAGGCACGTGTGGTCCATACCCATTTAAAACTGAAAGTGGATTTTGATCGAAAAGTTCTTAAAGGAAAAGCAACTTTGACTATAGAAAGACAACCTTTTATTGATAAAATAGTGAGTCGAAATTTTCTTTCATATCAAGCAATAAAATTTTGACAAGTTATTAATATAATATTATTAATATAATACAATCTATTAGATTTTAGATAATTATGATCTTAAGATAATGGAAGTTACGAATCATGCTACTGGTGTGCCTTTACGTTATGACACTGGACTTAATTATTTTTGTGGAAGACCATTTACCATATCTTTACCAAGAGATCAAGAGAATAACGGAAAGTAAATATAAGACAATTTTAGAAAAATACAGTTACTAAAAATTATTAATGCAAAAATTGAGTATATCAATAATGATATGATATTTTCAGATGTATGATTCAAATTAAATATGAAACAAGTCCAAGCTCCCCTGCATTAAATTGGCTAACGCCTGAGCAAACCGCCGATGGTACACAACCGTTCCTAATGTCGAATAGCCAGGTAAATTGGATAAACAAACAAAGCAATCTTATTTTCACCAATATGCGTTAAATAAAAATTTGAATTCTTTTAGTATATACATGCAAAAGCTATGTTTCCATGCCAGGACACCCCATCTGTCAAATTTACGTATACTGCTGAGGTAAGAATTTAAAGTTTTAAACATATAGATAGCACTTATATGAATTCTTTATTTATTTATTATAAAAAGTTTGGGAAGAAATTATAATATATTAATGAAAAATTGTATATAAGTATATGTTTGTAAATATACATATACACATCTACATCATCTTATAAACTGCAATAATGAAATAAAATAAAATGTCTGCTCAATATTTATTGACGTATATCATATATGTTTTAGATTTCAGTACGAAAGAATTTCACAGTTATAATGTCTGCAGTGTTGAGTAGCACACACGAAGCTCAGCACAAACGTGTATATAAATTCACTCAAACAATACCAATACCGTCTTATGCGGTGGTTATTGCTGTGGGTTCACTAGAGAAAGCAAATCTTAGTCCAAGAAGCAGTGTGTTTGCCGAAAGCAAACTTAGTGCCGTAAGTATCAAGACGTTTAAGAAGATTGAATGTATCTTGCAGGCTGCGGAAGACTTGTGTGGAACTTATTTCGGGGGTAAAATATCACCTACTAAATTGTTTGTTTAAATATACATATGCGTACACAGTATTATATATATGCATGATATTATATGTAGGTCCGGAAGTATGTTCCGGGACTTTTATTTTTGATATCGGTATTATATATTCCGGGACATTTGGCAGTTTCCAGGACCGTCCTGGAAAAAATTCATGTCCTACGGCAATTTTCGGGACAGTTTTCTGAATCTGATTACATATATATGCGTTATATTCCAGGACTGTACATTTCAAAAAACGTAAACAGTCCCGGAACATTTCTGGACCTACATATATATATATATATATATATATATATATATATAT